TCCTGCTGACAAATCCTGTCTTTCTACACATTACAAAACAATTTACTTGGTTATTATTCCAGTATTTAGGGGAATACTTTGCCAAATGAAACAGATGTAGCCAGAACAAAACAAAACAAAAAAACTAAAAAAACCTTGACTGATTGTGTTCCTGCAAAATTCTGAGTTTGAATGAACAATCAGAAGCAACCGTATCTCTGCAAATTCTGCAGGCAAGCCACAGCCTCCAGGTAATCAAAGACCTGGTAATCAAAGATAAAGTGCTGACAAGAAAAAATGCTTGAAGAAGTTAATAGGACTCTCTCTCCTCAAGAATACTGTCAGCCAATGTTTCTTCTTTGGTGTTTATACCACAATGAGGATTGCAGATGTGCAAGGATTTTTTTTCCCTGACCCAAGCTTTTTGTAGCCTTAGATCCCACAGCCGTTAGTATAAGGCTGTGTCAGCCAGCACAAGCCTGGTTCAAGGGACATGGGCAGCCCAATACTGCTAAGCAGATGCAACCTAAATCTACTGGAGCACATACATTGTTCACAGTACTATCCAGCTGTCCAGGATCAGTAAGGATGGAAACCCTCCAACTAGACCAGCTAGGTCACACAAGCTCTATCACTTGCAAAGTTTAAATTATTTTCTTAAATAAGCAATATGATTTTTTTCAAAAAGAAAGTCAAGATTAACAGGAGCTGATGGATGCACAGAACTTCTGAAAGTCTCCATCTTTCTGTGAGCCAGAAAAATTAATGTAACACCAGAATTTCAAATATTCTTATGATCAGTTACAGGCTTTCACTAAGCAAAGCACTTGTTACAAGTTTAAAGTTAAGCATGTCTACATGTGCAGGAAACATGCAAATTGAGATCCTCAATTTCAAATAAATCTTGATGCCTGTTTATACATATATGTACTTACTTTTGTAACTGGGGTGGTGGGGATTTGTCGCGAATGAGCAGTTAGGTTGCTTAAATAATCACTGCCAAAGATATTTGCAAATAGTGATTTTAATAGAAATTTATAAAAGGGTGATTTAACAAAGTTCGTTGGCAAGGTTCACTCTTACTTAAAGGAGGCCCTCCCGTTGAGTCACGAGGTTCGGAATGGACCCCCTTGCTTTCTAAACTCCTTCTCAGAGAGAAGCCTAGGTGCAACTGGATCCAGTCCTAGTCTCAGACTTGGTCAACAGTTTATGTCTAAGGATTATATGTATTTAGCAGCAACTTCAGGTTTGTTCAGAGTAAGGAGAGAATCACAAGGATTTAGCAGTAACCAATCATTGGTTACTCTAGCATCTACAAAGTGATCAAATGAGGTTTACTGCAATATTTGTATCGACACACAGACACACTAGGCCTAATAAAGGTACCTATTAAAATTCCCCAGAGTTTAGTAAAAACACAATATGCATAGATAAAGGATTTTTACCTGGTAAAAATTTGCCTCGACGTCAGTGAAATACTCCCTTCAAATGACTGTCTCAATGGGTGAAAAGTCAATCCTCAAGGAGCGAAGGGCACCAGAGATCAGCCCAGGTCCTGTTGCCAGGCCTCCGTACACAAACTTAAGAGTTCGCAACTCTGAGAGGCGTCCCACTCACAGGGAGACACTGGTGCAGCCCGCTGGCGGTCCAGAAGAGCTCAGAGGGTCTCCCTTGGTACCACTGTTTATAGGGTTGCCAGATGATTGACTTTAGGCATCAGTAAATTTCCATTCTGGCCACAGCTCCTGTCGGTAATTGCCAAGTTCTCATCAATCTCAGTGAGGCAGGTACGATCCTCGCGTACCAATCCGCTTGAGTTACGATCCACAATGATACGTTCCCGTGCTGTCAGGGGGGGACTGATTATGCCAGGTGGGATCAAGGCATTCTTGTTCCCCAGCTCAGCCATGCAAGAGTGCCTGGTACGACCAAGGGGCACTCAACCGCCAGACTTATTGCTCAAAGGCTAAGCCTTGACAGCAGTCCCTGTGATCGTAAAGTGGTCCAGAGGAGCGGGGTGGGGGATGCACCACCAAAGGACTGTATAAAAAGAAATTGCTTTTTGAATTTTTATTACCCTAATTTTAAAGGTGAACATCAGTGACTCAAGGAACAACAAACCAGTGAGGCTGGGACCTTTAAAACCTACCCTAGAAGGAAAATGTCCAGTGAAATTCAGTGTGAAGCCCCTCATATCTTCTCCTGTTAGCTGTTACTGCCAGCTGCATTGGCTGTATGTATACTGCCAACTGCAGTATGGGGCTGAATTATGCTGAGCTCTGTGACAGTCCCATCTCTCTATGCACCTTGCTGGTTTAACTCAGCCTCAAAGTTTCAAAAGAGTTCTTTCAAGGACTCATGCACAGGATACCCATCAATATTTTGAGCTCCTTCAGTGTCTATTTACCTACATTCAGTCTATGAATGAGGGTTTGTGTCCATGATAAAGCAGTGTTCAGTCTTAAGTCTGCACCTGAGTTGAATGTCAATTCTGAGCCCACTCTAGATGTTCTCCACAACCAGTAGTCCAGACCTGTGCCAATCTAGCAACCTCTAGCTGGCCATTCCTATAACTAAGCTATAAAATCCATCACAGACTAAGTCAGCCTCTGGAGAGTGATATCTCTACTCCTTCTCTCTCATACAAAATACCATACAGAAAGCCAGAGTGACACAACACATTGAATATTGCCGTGTCTCCCTTCCTGTCTTACTCTGAGAAAAAGCTGAATCTTCCTTGATGAATGCTTCCTTGCATAACATTAAGGGGTGCAGAATGGAACAGTACCTCCCTGCACAGCCCCTCTTCCCGTCTTCCCTAAGAAAACAAATGGCAGGTCCCTTTAGCATAGTTTTTTTAGGTAATGAGTCTTCTCCAACAGATTTACTGCAGCAGCCTTACAAGAGATTTATAGCAGGCAGGCCTCCATCTGTAGTCTTACATCCTCACTCCAAGAGCCATAATTCTCCTAAAGTGAAATGACAGAAGATCATAATGGCTAATCATGTAATATGATGATACTGTCTCTACAGGAAGGATTGCACTTGGCTTTCTGTGTCTCCTTTGGGCAACACAAAACTTCCTTGCAAAGCTGAAACAAATTACATTTTTCTGGTTGCTACAGTGACATCGGTTGGACACCCCTCCACACTCCCCCCCGCCATGCAACAGCACTGACCCAGCTATTTTAAAGAACATTTTCTGAAGAGTGGGTTTCTCGAGTGTTTGGATACTGGATATGGAACATTTCAACTGTAAATTGCTAGCACGATTCTGGCTCAGGCTGATAACAATGTAAATGGTGACAGGTGTTTCACTTGCGTGAAATGATCTATTCATACAGTTCTTCATGCACAGGTGTCCAGCATCAGAATGAAGTCCAACAGGTATTAAGCAGTGCAAAGCAACATGTTTTAATATAGAAAGGATATCTATTTTACTTTCATTATGGCATGAATAGACTACTGCAGGCATAAAGCATACGCTTAGAAAGCATTTTGCCAACACACTGGAATATTAATCTTCTAATGAGTCTTGAACATTTTTGATAGTTACCAATGCACAGGACCTCTACCATACACCTCTGTCCTCTCACCGAAAAGTTACATCTCTAAGAGTACAATGGACCAAAGTTTTGATTCAGAACTGGGGAAAGAAGATTTCGCCCTCCTGATTAATTAAAAAAACTCTCTTTCCTTGGAGTCTCCAGTTCTTAAATGGAAACAGACCTCACATGACCAATTTATGGGGCTGCAGCACAAAGTAGAATCACAGCAGGTTTTCTGACTTTCCCAGTGAGTTCACTGAATTGACCTGTACCTCTGCGGTCAGACAGGCAGCAAGAAGAAAATCTTAGCTTTAACTCGTGACAGCTCAAACATACTGAGGAATATGCAACTTTTCTTTCTCAGAGATGAAAAAGTCTGCAAGAATCCTGCCATTCTAACTGCAAAGCAGGATCACTCAAATGCTTTTGCCATGATTGACTAAAATTCATAACCGACAGGATCTTCAGCGTACAAGCTGGAGTCTGTAAGATACAGCTTCAGTTCTCTGCTTTGTAACTAGTGTCCTGTGTGACTTGACAAAAGCACCCACGCTGTAGTTCCCCAACAGTAAAAAAGCGCAATGGCATGGCTGAACTTTTCAGGAAGATCATCAGTTCCAGGTGGATTCTGAGATATACAGATAATGGGGCCACAGGGCTCTGAGTGGGTCAGTGGCCTTTATCCCCACGTTGCTCATGCAGACGGGCTGACATCCTATTTGCCATGTGTTTGCTGGAATGCCTTCTCATGCTGTACTTCCATTAGCTGAAATCAGCAGAATCACTCCTAATCCTGCGCTGACACGCGTATATGAAAGCTAACAGTTAGTTTGTTCACTGGGCGCATTATGGAGGGAATATGTGTGATTCTGTATTTAAATAGATTTAAAAAAACCCAACAAAACAGCAATATTGAGGCTAAGCACAGAGGATAAGATTTTTAAAAGCGCAGAGTGGTTGCCAAGCATTCTAGGTGCAGATTTATTGGTAGGTAGAAGAAGTCAGGAGACTGATAATAAGTTCAGTGTGTCTATTAGAAAAGGGAGGCAAACACACAGACTGTAATGACGCCTTGCTGGTGCAATACTCAATTTTTAATCTACATGATGCAACTCTTCCCCTTCATTAACAGCAAGGCCAGGTTTGGACCGCCTCTTGATTGAGCAGTTAGCCCTGCATGGAGCCTGTTTGAAAACTCCATCCCAAAACTCATACTTAAGAACATATCCAAATGGTCTGAATTTTATCTACTGTTATTTTAAAGGTATTTCTCTCATTAATATGGAACAAAACCTATAGATTGTTTTGTACCTTGGAAAATCCTTAGGCGTTTAACTATGGGTGCCTAAGGTCAGAATCCTATACCTGGTGAGAAAAGGTAAATATTATCATACAATTCATGCTTTCTGGAATGTTTCCTTATCTTTTTTTTTTTTTGTCTTCCCCACACTTCCCAGAGTGAGAGCCGTCTGGATACACCTTACAATTTTCTCAACTCAAGTACTAAAGGCATTTTTGTCATTCTAGGGCCTTCTCTCTGTTGCTGTCTCCATTTCTCAGTATCAGATGGTACTTTAAAAACTCTAATGCCATTCTGGCATTTTTGTCATTCTAGGGCCTTCTCTCTGTTGCTGTCTCCATTTCTCAGTATCAGATGGTACTTTAAAAACTCTAACCTGCCATTCTGAGTCTAGCAATGAAATGAAAATATAGATAAAGCTCATCCTTCTTGGCTGAGGGGAGAAGGGCAGACTCAAATCTCTTATAGAAAAAAAGCTAGATTCTTATTAACAGTAAATCTGGGCAGTCAGATTTGCACTTTAGCAGCTTGTGATGTAACCATGCCTTAGAGCAGATTACAATCAGCTTCAGAAAGGAATCCATAAAGCACAACTCAAAAAAATGCACTTAGGCATATGCTTAAAGTTCAAATTCTGTATTACTGAATTAAGATTCAGCAATTCCCATTTCAGTCCTTTCCAGTTTCTTCCCGAAATACTTAACTGAATAAATATAAAAGCAAGTACAATCATGAATAAGCAAGAACCTTTTACTTTTCCTCTCCTTTTGTGTGACTGGACAAACAAAGAACAGTTAAACTAATGAAAGCCAGACATCTACCGCAGCTGCTATTACCGCATCCCTGTCAAAAATGCAACTAATTTCCTCAGGTCAGAAGCAGAGATAAGCACAATTACTCTGGAGATTATTTCCAACACTTAGATTTGTCCAAATACTTTCTACAGTTGTCACATACTTACACTAAACCCCAGTTACCTATACTACAGCTGGTATGTCTTTACAATCTTTTTCATAAAGGCTTCCCCAGCCAATGAAGGACTGGCATTTTTTAATCACTATAAAGCTACCATTCCCCCTATGGAGCTGCACAAAGCTTTTGATTATTGGGTAATGCCCTTTTTTTTTTTTTTTTTTTTTTTTAAGAGTCCACAAATTTTGGGGGCAGAGACTGTGTTTTAATCCATTGCTATCTTCTGATAATCATGCTGAATGTGTTTAGTCTACACGCAAAAAGCAGGAGGCAGTATTTAATTACCATGACAACACTTTGAGGTCCTAAATGAAACTATTGAAATGGAAGTCCTAAATGAAAGGACTATTTAAAAAAATTGAATTTGGTCTATTTAACAGACTGACTAAATTACATCTATGGCACAGACATCACCTTGTTGTTACCCAGGCAAATAAAAAAGACAAAGACTGGGACAACGGTTGATTTTATAAACAGGAAAACTGAGGAACAGAGAAACTGAAGTGACATGTCCGAAGTTACATAAGAATTGACTACAGATTCCTTGTTATCTATTCCTGTGTCAATCACAAAAGAAACACATCTCCCACAGAGTGTTCCTGCAAAACAGTTCTTTGATGGTAACACCTTTTAATACAACAGAAACATTTGAATAGAATGAGGTGGAACAATGAGAAATAACGGCCATGTACATATAAGTGGTAAAAAGATATTTTAACCAGGTGTTAGAACATATGAAAATTGTGAGAAGTGGTGTTACTTGCCATTAAACTGAGAAGAGCTAAAAAAAAAGTATGATTCACAATTCACCCACATGCCAGTTTTTGTTCTATTTTGGAAGCCTAACGAAGACT